TTAGTTACTTGATCACTTCCATAGCTAAGTATTCAAACCACATTGTATCATCATCATCATCATCATCATCATCGTTGCCTGTTTTAATATTATTATTATAATTAGAGAGCCAGGATACCCCAGTCAGTATAGTGATAGGCTACAGGCTGGATGACCAGTGTTTGATTCACAGCAGGGGCAAGAACTTTCTCTACTCCAGTGTCCAGACCGACCCTGGGGTTCACCTAGCCCACTATCCAATGGGTGGTGAAGGCTCTTTCCCAGGGGTAAAGTAGCCGGGATATGGAGATGACAACTCACTTCCCTTTAGTACCAAAATCAGGAATAGTGGAGCTATACCTCCACTCCCCCATATATTTTCGTCACACAGTAGTTATTCAGTAAAACACAGGGACAACTGCACCTTTACCTTACACATGATTCTGCTGATTTGAAGACACTCCAAGCATTTAATTTCCTTTAGAAGGTACTTCATGTCTCTTCCGCTGGCATTCATTCCACTAGGGTGTGGACTTATAGATGAAAAGCTTCCAACTATGTTTGCCTTGCCACAGATTTTAAGCTTGCACCACCGTCCATACTCTTCCTCTATTTGTAACATTAACAGCCCCTTTAGTAAACTATGTCAGTCTGGCCTCCTGAGACTCTAGTGTAGTTTCAAATATACCTGCACCCCCACTGTTTTTCATTTTTATTTCAGTCTGCAAGTTTCTTCTACTTGTTATATCATTCATCACTCATGTGGTCAAGCCATCTTGATTTAAGATGTCCTTTGGATCTTTTACCTTTTAACCTATAGTTCCAAAACCCCAACATGACATCTGATTACATCCAATGCTTTACTATGTCCCAATCTCTGTAACTTTTTCACCTATGAAATGCCAGTTTCTATCCTTGTCTTTCTACAGATGTTTTCCTGCCATTTCTTTGTTTACAAACTCAATGTAAGCCTCCCCCATATACCTTCCCATGTAGTCACTCAATAAGGAAATCCCATTGGGTACTATTTCCAGCCCTAACCAACCAAGTCAATTTTGCTGGAGGCATGGCTGTATTTGTAAGTTATTTGCCACAGATGAGGCACAATGGAATAGGACAACTTGAGTCAACAGTCCTTGTAAACAAGGTTATTAGAATAAACGACAGTTAATTCCCTAAACAGCATTAACCAGTTTGTCTTCATAATGGAGAAGCACCATGTTCCCTGTGAGGCAGGAACTGCATATTTAAAAGCTACTGGTAGACAAACTCTTTAAAATTCAAAGACAAATCACCTTTCTCATTTCTTCATCTTTCATCCCATTTCTTCCCTGTTATGCCTTTAAGGCCATAACAGGGGTGCATTGGAGCCCCCCTCCCCCAGGGTCAAATGATATGTATTGAAAGAACAGTATGACCAGGAAGAAGCAGGCTTGCCTAATGGCGAGCTAGACTTGCTTGGAGATGCTGATACAGCACTTGAACCATATGTGGTAACTGTTACCGTAAGGGCTGTGCCATAGCTCAAGTGGTTAGTCGCTGTCTTCCCACCACGGTGGCCTGGGTTCGATCCCGGGTCTGGTCAAGTGGGATTTGTGGTGGAAAAAGTGGTGCTGGGGCAGGTTTTCTCCGAGTACTTCGGTTTCCCCTGCCAATCTTCATTCCACCAATTAGCTCTGCAATCACCCTCCCCTATCATCTGGGGCTGGTACAATAGGCCAGAAGTGGCTGCAATACAAGGAACTTGGACCCACCCCACTAACAACAAAGGAAACTGTTGTCGTAAAAACTAGAACAAGAGGAGAAATGCTGATGAGCAGCAGTCAGCTTGTATACCCTAGGTCAGGAATATGAAAGAGCCATTCAATAGATGGTCTTTAGGAGGTGGCACTGGGCACTATGCTCGTGGCCACCTCAACATTATTAGTGAAAATTTACACGAAAGACACCACACTGCACTTAAAACTCAGAATTCTGTCACTTCAAAACTGAAACCTGGGCAGGGCAGAGCAGAAGTTTGCTGTCAGCAATCAGCTAGCACAGTCACTCCTGGCATCGGGCCCCGCTTGGACCCATGGCCATATTTTGGTTTAGTGTCTTAGATATTTGCTTTTTTTTCCCACTCTTTGTTGGTCCTCCTTAATGATAAAAGGAGGGGTTGGTCTTTTATTGGATTGAAACCTGTTCAAGTCAAAGTCACATTGCGACTGACAGTCAGTCAGTCATTAAGTCTTGGTGTTGAGCCCCATGACAGCTACATTCATGTTTTTGTGGTGTGCACTCTCTGACGAGAGGGTGGGTCTGTTTTGTATATGCTGCTGGTCCTTTCCAGTGCAGTCTTTCTCGCACCCAAGTCCCTTGGGACTTGTGACCATACTTCACTGTCTCAGATTTGAGACTTCCCTTTTCGTCGCCTCCTACGGCTTTCAATGTCATGATGGAGGTATTCAACCCTGCCTCCATATGGTGTTGAGTGAGTCACGTTACCACTGACGGTCAGTCAGTCTGTCTGTCTTGGTGTCGAGCCCCAGCTGGGGCTCATGACCAGATATTTCTTTTGTATGAAAGTTACTGTCCTGTCCATGTGTAGCGCCCTCTCTGACGAGAGGTCGGGTCTGTCATTTGTTAGTCAGTCTGTAGTAATTTGTCCATTGTCTGTATTTACACGTATTTGCAATACATACTTATATAAATGTACAATATTTACACGGCCTCCGTCAGTCCAGGCTAGGTACAGCAGATTATGCCCTTTTATATATATATAAATAAATATCCTAATAGTATTAGCTTTCACGGCAGTCTAGTCACTTGAACGGTCGTACATATGGTGTTATATCTGGGATCACATTATATAGCCTCCTCATTGTCCAGACAGAAAACACAGTCTCCATTGTTGTAGAAGTGTGTTTACAGCAGTATGGACTCCGTAGAAAACACATCAGTTGCTCAGCAACGGATATCATGTTATGTTATCGGGCATGTCCACCCATGCACTGCCTAACAATGGACGCCCTATTGTTGCACATTCGTTGCTGTGATATGTGTTTAACCATCTGTTACCTGGCAATGCTTTGAGCAAATCTGTTACAGTATCCACATTGGGTAATCAGATAGCCAGAGAGTATGAGTAGGGTCAATGGAATTAACAAGTTCAATATACTTCAGATGCATGCTTGCATATACTGTAAGATATTCATAACAGCGTAAATAGACACCCCCTTGTGTTTCGAGTTTATTCTGGTCACCCACCTTCCCTAAGAAATACTATAGACCATATGGTGGCACCAACCAATGAAAAGAAGCTGAATTAACTGTAGAAACCTCCTGATACCTTGCTTCCAAATCTTGTGCCTTGGAAGGTCACCTAGTCTGTCCTGAACCTTTTCAGAGGCCAACCATATAGCAGAATAGAGAAGGAAGCTATGGATAGAGGTAGCTAACTAGAGTAGGGGGCCGACAGCTTAGCTAGAGTCTGCAGGTAGCTCAGGTACACCATACTTGAGGTGCCTCCATGCGTCTGTGCACCCAACAATGCAGTCTCCCCTGTCATTGAAAGTGCCTCTGCATAACAGTGGTGGCACCAGTTTGAAACAATACATCATTATGTAACATTTCCTTCCTTTCCCTTTTGATACCTTTGTGCCCTTAATTAATCTGATAAAACTGAAACCCGACTTACTCTAAACTCCGTCGGCTTCTACCCTCAGACACTAATAGGGCCTAAAAACACAAGCAAAGTCTGATTTTGCTTGCACAGTATACATAAGGGTTTTGCATAATTATTATAACAAGCAGGGATTATTTTCATAAATTGTATTACCTGGCTGGCCTTTATTATGCAGACAGGATAGTCGTGCTTCAGAGAGTTAACTCACAGTAAGGGGACACAATTGATAATTGTAAGAATTAAATACCGCAATTCAGTAGTATAGTTGGTTCTTTTACAAAAGGGGATGAACAGCTCCGTGTAGAGTAAACGCCCTACAAATTATTTAGCAGAGGGAGGGGGAGGTTGCAGTTCAAATTTTGACTATGTGGTGACTGTCCTGACTAAGACTTGGCAATTGTCTTCTCACTTGCATGACAGATGTCAGGATAGTGCCTCAGAATGAGTCAAGAATGCATTCTTTAAAATTCTTACCTGCTTGTTATTTTTACCATCTTCTAACTACAGAACTACAGTCTCAGAACTTGAAAGATTATCATTGAATACCATAAGAATCAATATGCAAGAGAAACAAGAGTTACACATTTCCATTGTTTCTTAACTCTTAATGTACCATAGCAGTAAAGGTTAAAGAAGTTACCAGAATAATGATTAAACTTTCACGAATACCAAAACACTCACCTCATATACATCAAAAGCAGAAGACAAACAAAACCTTCATTGAGCAAATGTAATGTTTAATAAAATATCTTGTACTCATAGGTACTGATGATGGATATAAAATATTTATGTGGTTCATTCTTACAGTTGTTTACAGGAATATGCATAAACAAACATTTACAACCAGAATTTTTGTCATAAAACCTCCATTAAATTTTGTGCATTATGTTTCAAATTTTATTTGTTTTTATCACAGATGGCTCATCATTCATCAATGGTAAACTGCCAACAACTACGACCACAATGTTCCAGAACACCCAGACTCTACGGGTTACCCAAAATACACAAACTTAACGTACCATTAAGACCAATTATCAGCACCATTGGCTCCCCCACCTATCGCTTGGCCAAACATTTGGCTGGCCTACTTAACTCCTACACCTGTGACTCCCCACACCACGTGAGAAACTCTGCCGAATTTGTCCACACCATAAAATCCCTCCGATTAAACCCTTATGATATGGTGGTTAGCTTCGATGTGGTATCCCTTTTCACCAAAGTGCCATTCAAGGACACTATGGAACTACTAGGAGGAAACTTCCCCGAAGATGTTTTGAGACTCTTTCGTCATGTTCTAACCACATCCTTCTTCAGCTTCGATGGCTAGTTCTACGAACAGACTGACGGTGTAGCCATGGGCTCTCCACTATCTCCGGTCATCGCCAACTTCTACATGAAGGACTTCGAGGAGAGGACGCTGGATTTGGCCCCACTCAAGCCCCTATGCTGGTTTCGATATGTGGACGACACCTTCGTCATCTGGCCCCACGGACCTGACAACCTGAAGGGTTTCCTGAACCACTTAAACAGTATCAACCCATGCATCCAGTTCACCATGGAAACCGAAAGTGAAGGCCACCTCCCCTTCCTAGATATAGATAATTACAGGAGACCTGACGGCTCTCTAGGCCATACAGTATACCGCAAACCCACACACAGAAACCTCTATCTCAATGCCAAGTCCCATCATCACCCTTCCAGTAAACAGGCAGCTCTGTCCACACTGGTACACATGGCCAGAGCTCTGTGCGATCAAGAGAGTCTGCGTGCGGAGTTGGAGTTCCTGAAGGACATCTTCAGACGCAATGGCTATAACGACCAGCAGATCCACAGGGCACTCAACCACCATCCCAGCAGCAATCAACATGATGACCGCAGAGAAACTGTCGCCTTCTTGCCCTTTGTCGGGACTATATTCAACAGGATCAGCAGAGTGCTGTCCCGACACAACATCAAATCAGTTGGCCTGGCCCCAAAGAAAATATC